TTTGTGGTGGGTAAATGAGCTATTACATTAAAATGTGTGTAGAACAGCCCTGGCCTGTGTGGCTCAGCTGGCTGGGCATTGTCCTGTGCACCAAAAGGTTGGCAGTTCAACCCAGGTCAGGCCACACGCCCCAAGTGCAGAGTCCTGGTAGGGATCCTGCAGGAGGCAACCAATTGATGCTTCCTTTTCACATTGATGTTTCTTTCTCTCTCCTTTCTCCTCTGAAATATACAAACATTTAGGACCAGACTGGCCAGTATGGCTATGGTTGAGCTGGACCTATGAACCAGGTCACCCTTGGGTTTCAGTCAGGGCACATGCCCAGGTTGTGGGCTTGACCCCCAGTGGGGGTCATGCAGAAACAGCTTATCCATGATTCTCTGACCCATGATTCTCTCTCATCATTGATACTTTTCTCTCCCTCTCCCTTCCTCTCTTGAAATAAATAAAAACATATTTTTTTAAAAAAAAATTTAGGAACAAATGTTTGCTTCTATTATCAATCCTAGGAAATCATCTATGCAAGCAGTCCTGAAAATTGTGTTCAATTAAGGGTTGAGCTTTTTTTCAATGCCTATGAAATTTATTCACATATCAAAGGAGCATATTTAAGAAAAATAAGAACTGCCCTGGCTTTTGACTACCAGTTGGATACTTTCTGTCATTGGTGTAGTGCCTGTAAACATGATCCAATTTTCATTTAGCTATTTCTACCGGGCCTCGAAAGGCTAAACTATGGCAAACATTTGGGACCTACTGTTTAATGTACTTTAACAATCTTCCCGCAAGAGAATGTAAATATTTCCAAGTGCCAGTTTGAAAAACCTATTGCACGGATCTCACACAAAATGAAAATACAAAACCCGCAGGCTTTTGCGATGTTGTTTTTTAGAAGAGAGAGAGTAGGGCTGCGGCTGAAAAACCCGAAAGCTGCGGCTCGCAAACAGTTCCGGGGACTGGCAGGCGGGTGAGGACGCCGGGCGCTCCTTGGGGAGGGGCTCAGCGGGCGAGAGATGCCGAGACACTGCAAGCCGATTCTCATCTCTCCCGTGGACACCGCGGAGACGCCGCTATCCCTTACCCATCCCACACGGCGCCTCTCCGGTCCCATTTGGGGTCACCACCAGCCAAGAGCTCTGGTGAGAGGGGCGCCCCAAGGCTCAGCTCTCTGCCGGGGCCAGCGGGGGGCCCAGACACACCAGCGCCGGGAAGGGGAGTAGGGAGTTGGGGGGCGGTGGCCGGGGAAGGCGAAGGGCGTTTTCGACCCAGATCTCAGCGGGAAAATCAGAAAAAGAGGAGGCGGTAGTGCAATCGAAGCCTGGGGTGTGGCCCGGAGAACAAAGAGGCCGTGGAAGCCCAGAGGCGCTCCGCTCCTCCGCGCGCGCCTCGCGGTCCAGCGAATTCTATCGGGTTCCCAGAGCTGAAAATTTGAGGATTCTCGAACCCAGCCCGGGCCTGCAGGACCATAGACTCCCTCCGGCAGCACCAGGCATCTGCATGCCAAACGAGCGTCCGGGCTGAGGCGGGCCCTGGGGAGTTTGAAAACCTTCGCCCCAGCCTGACAGCACCTCGGCCTCACGGACCCGACGCGCCCAGCACCACAGCGGCCGCGGCTTGGCCACGCCCACCGCGCCGGGTCCTTTCCCTTAATCCCGCCCCCTTCTCAGCGCGGATTGGTGACGAGAAGCAACGGCGACGCTGATTGGCTAGCGGAGGCGTCGCTCGTGGGAGACTGTGATTTGGGGCGCTCCGGGGTGCTAAATTTATCTTCTGAAGAGCGACCGCGCCAGCCGCGAGCCGGATCTCTGTGGAGGTGGCCTAGGCGGTACCCCCGAACCGAGAGCATCACCCTGTCCCCGAATCCTTCTTCCCTGTTTTATTTTCCATTTCCCTCCTCTCGCCTCCTTCCCCCTCCCCACCCCCCAGTCCGCGACGACTGGCTCTTGACCCTGTCCAGGCCTCGGTGAAGGTGAGGACCCGCGCGGCCGCGGCGGCTGGTGGTGCGCCCTGAAATGGCCGCCGCCAGGAGCTGTCCGTCTAAGATGGCGGCCGCGGGCGCTGCTGCCCTGCAGCCTGGCCGCGCTAGACCGTGCTCTCCATCCCTGACGGGGACGAAGTAGGAAGCTAGTCATGGGGTGCTCAGGCGCGTCCATGTGGTAGTGAGCCGAGGCGGCCGTCCGGGGCCCCAAGAGGAGATGTGTGCAGGCGAGGGTGGGCTCCGACAGGGGGCGACCCCAGACGTGGCGGCCTGCGAGCTTTGCACACCGAGGACAGGGAAGAGCTGAGGGGACCGTTGCTGAAAGCATTTCGGTGTTGGTAGGGGATGTCCTTCCCAGGCTTTCTGAATGGCCTGCACACCTCCCGAGCCCTCCTGTCCCTGAGGGTATTGTTCAAACGCCTGAGGGTGGTGGTGAAGGGATGGTGCTGCCTGTAAGTGTAACCGGAAGAAACAAACAAAACAAAACAAAAAAAAAATGAGGGAGCCGCCCTTTTCTGAGAGCCGAATGGAAACTTTGCTCTCTAGGGAGTGCAGACTTCGTCCTCGAGAGTGTGGGGGAAACACCGCTGCGGAGGTGGGGCTGAGGCCCACTTTCCTGAAAGCAGGCTTCCTGCCCCGCTGTGACCTCCGGCAGCAGAGAAGAGGGATCCCGATCTTTTAGATCCGCCGGCAACCCCCCGAAGTTCTCTGTTGCTAAATCCAAATAAGAGACTATGGGAAGGACATCTGCTCTTTTGCTCCCATTCACGGAGAAGTGGGGCTTTCTGCTGCTGCCAGTTTTTGAGGTCCTCAACTTTCTGGCAGTTGTAACCCGTTTCTCCCTGCACCACCCAACTTCTGATAGCAGATATTTTAGTGCTTGATTATTCAGGGACACACAAGTAATGGCGAGGTATGTAAGGTTCTGCACTCAAACTTTTTGGGTTTTTGTTAGTTCTTCACTTAAAAGGTGACTTCTCTGTGTCTATTCATCACTAAGGTGGTGTTATTTGATAGTCCCTGGCTCTCAGGTTTGTTTGAAGGATGAAATGAGTTCTATAAAGGATTTAGCAATTACTGGCTGAACAGTGATCACTCAGTATGCATTGGCAACCTTGGTGATTGGTTAATGAGGGGACCCATGGTTATAGCAAAAAGGCATATTTCATGTAACACTTCCATGTATAGGTTGCTTCAATTTTAGATGACTCTTAGTGCTTGGTTTTAGAGACAATTAAAGTGTGGCTATACTTTTAAAAGTTAGGTTTAGTTTTTGAACTTTTCTATGAAGTCACTGGATGGAAGAGCATCTCAAAACAATGAAGTTACCAAGGTATTAAATAGGACAAAAATATTAGCATATTTATTATGTTCATTTATGTTTCAGTCTAAGATCTGCATTGTCAGGATCTAAAATAAATTGTAATGGGTGGTCAATTCAGAGGTATGTAGTTAATGCTGCTTTTACAATCTCTAATTTAAATTTTTCTCATTCTAGGCTATTGGTTATTCCCCTTCCATCCCACCCCTTAATTTTATTCTTTTGAAGAGTCTGCATTTCAAGCTGCCAAGGTGGAGAATGTGATTCCAGAAGGGGAGTACTCCTCATTTCAGGTATCTTACCCTCTAGCTATTAATAGGAAACCATTTTGATGTAGGATCTTATTGAGACTACAAAGTTTACTCTGTAGCCAAGTCATAAAGTGTAAATCAAGAGTAGCTGTATTTGGATAGATACTAAATTCTTATATCTTAACTTATGAAGCTAGTTTTATTCTTTAGAGGTCATAAAATTTGTATTACCCTTTTAATTTATGCTTTAGAAAAGTATATGAGGAATAAACCTAATAAAATTACAATTTATGTTTTTAGGTCTTGATTAAGTATTCATCTATAATATAACGGGATACAGAGTAATCAGTAAAATATACATCATTTTTAATGAGTCGATTTGCATAATATAAATATGTAATCTTAAATTCAGAGAAATAGTAGCTAATTTTTGGTCTATAGTTTATTTTTCAATTTCAACACTGTATTTAGGATATAGCAGAATTCCATGTCTTGCAAAACTTGAACTCTTTGTGTGTTTTTTTTTAATAAATCTTTACTGTTCAGATTATTACAATTGTTTCTCCTCCCCGCCACCCCCATAGCTTCCCTCCACCTGGTCCCCACTCCACCCTCTGCCTTTACCCCCCACCCCTTCCACCCCTCACTGTCCTCATCCATAGATATATGATTTTTGTCCAGTCTCTTCCGTATCCCCAACACAGACACTCCTTTCCCCCTGAGAATTATCAGTCCCCTCCCATTCTATGTCCCTGATTCTATTATATTCTCTTTGTGTGTTTTTAATACAGCTTCATAGTTATTAGCCCTGAAAGGAGCCTTCAGATATATAATAATATTAACAATGAATGTATCTAATGGCAACAGGCATCAGAAAGCTAAGAGAGATTCCAAGATACCATGAAAAGGGGTTGGTAAATTATGCCCTATGCTGTTTTTTTAACACAACTGTGCCCATTTTTTACGTATTGTGCTGCCATGCTACAAGTATAGAATTGAGGAGTTACAACAGAGTCCATATGGCTCACAAGTAAAAAATATTGATTATATGGCCCTTTACAGAAAAAGTTTGCCAACCCATGGCATGGGACATATTCTTCAAGTTCCTTTAAAAACATGCTTATCAATTCTATTATTTCTTAACCCAATAGTTGTGTTTTATGGAATATTAATGTTCTCTAATAAGTGTTCTGAGAAAAAAAGGTAATGATAACAGTAGATTTTTTAATAGTTTATCTTAAGATATAAGTTTAAGACTATTAAACTCATTTCTATAGCTTTTATTTTTATGTGATAATCTACCTTTAAGAAAAGGTGTGCCATACCTGAGAGCACCAGGAAATCGCATGAGAGATCACCTGATAGACGAACGTGTGATGCTCCATCTGCGCATTGATGCATAGGCAGCATTTACAAATTAACTGATGTGTTGCTATATATCATCTCTTTGATGATTGCTCATCTTCTATATATCCTGTCTTATAATTTCAACAAATTTGTCATACTCATTGTTTATTTTAAACTAACCATGTTTTGTACCACAAATACATTGTCTATGGATCTATTGCCGAAACAAGGAAGTCTTAAACAAGAAGTAGAATCATTTTATCAAATTGTTTCTGAATCAAATGATCAAAAAGTTGGAATATTACAAAGTGACGATGAACAGTTGCAGCCATCAGTTTCTAAAAAATCAGAAGATGAGCTTTCCAGGGTTCAATTTATGTCCAATTCCAACAAAATAACATTTAGTAAGAAACCAAAAAGAAGAAAATATGATGAAAGTTATTTGTCTTTTGGATTTACTTACTTTGGAAATAGAGATGCACCTCATGCTCAGTGTGTGTTATGTAAGAAAATTTTATCAAATAGCTCTTTGGCCCCTAGTAAGCTTCGAAGACATTTGGAAACTAAACACGCTGCATATAAGGACAAAGACATAAGCTTTTTCAAGCAACATCTTGATTCACCTGAAAATAACAAACCCCTACCACCTAAAATTGTCAATACAGATAATGAAAGTGCTACAGAGGCATCGTACAATGTAAGTTACCACATAGCCCTGAGTGGAGAGGCTCATACTGTTGGAGAATTGCTTATCAAGCCTTGCGCAAAAGATGTCGTGATGCGGATGTTTGATGAACAATACAGTAAAAAAATAGATGCAGTGCAGCTATCAAACAGCACTATTGCACGCCGAATTAAGGATCTAGCTGCTGACATTGAAGAAGAGCTTGTTTGTAGACTGAAAATTTGTGATGGGTTTTCGCTGCAGCTAGATGAATCAGCTGATGTTTCAGGACTTGCTGTGCTACTTGTGTTTGTTCGTTACCGGTTTAATAAGTCTATTGAGGAAGACCTACTCTTATGTGAATCTCTGCAAAGTAATGCTACTGGTAAAGAAATTTTCAACTGCATCAATAGTTTTATGCAGAAACATGAGATTGAATGGGGGAAATGTGTTGATATTTGTAGTGATGCTTCTAGGGCAATGGATGGAAAAATTGCTGAGGCTGTTGGCTTGATAAAGTATGTGGCTCCGGAAAGTACCAGTAGTCACTGCCTATTATATAGACATGCTCTAGCAGTTAAAATAATGCCTACATCTCTAAAGAATGTGCTAGATCAAGCGGTACAAATCATCAATTATATTAAAGCTCGACCACATCAATCCAGACTACTAAAAATTTTATGTGAAGAAATGGGTGCCCAGCACACAGCACTTCTTCTAAATACAGAGGTGAGGTGGCTTTCCCGAGGTAAAGTTCTTGTAAGACTTTTTGAGCTTCGTCGTGAACTATTGGTTTTCATGGATTCTGCTTTCCAACTGTCTGATTGTTTAACAAATTTATCTTGGCTCCTAAGACTTGCATATCTTGCAGATATTTTTACTAAATTAAATGAGGTTAATCTGTCAATGCAAGGAAAAAATGTGACAGTGTTTACAGTATTTGATAAAATGTCATCATTGTTAAGAAAATTGGCGTTTTGGGCCTCATCTGTAGAAGAAGAAAACTTTGATTGTTTTCCTACTCTAAGTGACTTTTTGACCGAAATTAATTCTACAGTTGATAAAGATATATGCAGTGCCATTGTGCAGCACCTACGGGGTTTGCGCTCTACTCTGTTAAAATATTTTCCTGTAACAAATGACAATAATGCTTGGGTTAGAAATCCATTTACAGTGTCTGTTAAACCAGCCTCATTAGGTGCAAGGGACTATGAGAGCCTGATTGATTTAACATCTGATTCTCAAGTGAAACAAAATTTCAGTGAACTTTCCCTAAATGATTTTTGGAGTAGCCTAATTCAAGAGTACCCAAGCATTGCAACACGTGCAGTTCGTGTACTTCTTCCTTTTGCTACAATGCATCTGTGTGAAACAGGATTTTCATATTATGCTGCAACAAAAACAAAATATCGGAAAAGGCTTGATGCTGCACCTCACATGAGGATCCGACTTAGCAACATTACACCTAATATTAAGCGGATATGTGATAAAAAGACACAAAAACACTGTTCTCATTAAAATTGAAGGGTTTTGCATGTCTCATGATAACCAAATATAAGATGAAAATAAAAGATGATTTACTTTATATCTGGCATTTTGGAATTTTAAATAAAATTATTCAAGTTTTTTATATTTCTTAGATTTTAAGAAAACTAAAAGAATCAAAAATTTAAATATGTATTATGAGTATTTCTTCTTCACATAATTTCAAAGGGTCTCATGGTTATAACTCTATCTTGACTCAAAAGATAAAGTCCCAATTCCTTAACATAACATACCTCTTTAGGATCTAATCTTTCAAGCCATGTCTATCCTACAGCCCACCAATCTCATGGAATTTCTTGCCATTCCGTAAACATCACACTGTTTCATGCTGTCAGGTCTCAAAAAACTATTCCTTCCCTTTCTTGCTTCCTGACAAATTCCTATTTGCTTTTCAGCACTATGACTGAATTTATCTTAGGTACTCTCATTCTCTATATCTTTCTATTTTGCCCTTATTTTTTGTATCGTCTCAACTGTGATAGTTTGAAAGTCTCATGATTCCCAGTTGGACTGAGCTCTTAAAGGGTCTTATCCAGCTCTGTGTCTTCATTATTGGCAAAAGGACTTATTGAAGTGATGCTCAATAAAGGAAGGAATGTTGAAGGTAAACAACAATAAATGGAATAGGGTGTGGTGGATTATATTTACAAAATGCTACCCTTTGTGATTTTAGCTCAATTGCTCTGTTACCTAGAATTCAGTATGGCTCTTAGGCAAAAGTCACTAAGAATGACATGGCTCTGATTTAAGCTGAACTATTGGGGAATTTGGGAGGAAATATGAAGAATATTTTCAGATACCTTGTTTCTCAGTTCCTATATACATTTTTGCAAATTCCATACACTGTAATCTAAATTATTGAGACAACTGTACTTGAAGATGATGAGACTCTAAACCTCTATCAATTTATTCTTAGAATACTATGAAAATTTTAGTAGTATTCCTGTCTCTAGGCTTCTCTTCCCATGTCACACCACACAACACAGATCACCAACTCAAGAGCTACTATGATCAAGAACTACTGCAGATAACCATTGTTTATTTAATCTCACTTACTCAAACCTGTCTCTCATTTTGGGGAGTAGGAGTAACTTCCTTCATTAGAGCAGGATGTGGTAAAATCGCTAGATCTAGGTTCCTACTCCACTATTCAACCAGATCTAGGTTCCTACTCCACTACTTAACATTGGGCAATTGAGCCCTCCTGAACCCCAGGTATTTAATTCTTCTGTGAAGGGTTATTCAAATTAAATGAGAATGCATAAAAAACTTAGAACCAAGTGATTAGGAATAGATCTGTAGCATATATTAGTTCCCTGCATATCCAACTATGTCTCAGTTAATTTCACTCCACACTCACACTTCTAGTCTTGAGTTTTTATTCTCTATGCAAACAGCCCTTCAGGTGATAGGAACTGAGTTCATCTGAGGCAGCAAGATGAAGCATCTCTAGCCCTCGTTTTTTCCCCTTTGTCACATTATTAAGCAGCTGTTTATATATCAGGTATCTTACTAGATGTTTGTATGCTACCTATGATCTTTACAACAATCTCAAAGAATTAGGCAATTTTTTAATTTGGTCATGGTCACACAATAAATGCCAGCATTTGCTTTTTTTGTTGTTGTTTTTTAATTTATTTATTTTTAATATATTTTATTGATTTTCCACAGAGAGGAAGGGAGAGGCATAGAGAGCTAGAAATGTCGATGAGAGAGAAACATTGACCAGCTGCCTCCTGCACACCCCTTACGGGGATGTGCCCGCAACCAATGTACATGCCCTTGACCGGAATTGAACCTGGGCCTTTCAGTCCACAGACCGATGCTCTTTCCACTGAGCCAAACCGGTTTGGGCCAGAACTTGGTTTTAAGTGGATCTTTTCTAAAGACTCCTTTTTGCACTTACTACCTTTCACATTTTTCTAATAGCATCAAATAGTAAATTGGAAGTACCGTATAGCTAAAACATCCTACTAAAATCTGAACATTTCTTTGAAATTTTATATTATTTTTTCTAGATTCAAATTAGCTATTTCAAAGTATTACTGCTTATTTTAAAAATATATATGTAAAAAACGGATTACATTGCTATCAAGTAAAATTATTTTCCCAAAAAAATTCATCATAACACATGCAATGTTTTTTGTCAGTTAATCCAAGGATTAAATCTACCCTAGTTTGAGAAGTATGTATAATGCCATAATGTCTATATCTTACGGATACCTCAAGTCTGATAACTAGACCCCTTCTATGATTGCTGAACCAGAGCCCTTGATTATGTCATCTGTCCAGGATGTCAGCCTCTTGACAAATGAGACCTCTTGTGCTTTATAATTTTCCCCCTAACCTCTTCTGAGACTTTAGATTCCTGCATTTAAATTTATCTATTGACTGGAACCCTCCTATCTGCTACTAAATCTCTTCAATCCCAATCCTCCCCAACTTGGTTCTTGATTAAGGTGACAGTCCCGATTTTTAACAATTTGTCCCACAAGTTTTAAAGTCCCAATTTATTTCAAAAAACCGGGACTTTTTTAAAATGCCGTGGGACGCGGGACAAATTGTTAAAAATTGGGATGTCTGGTCATCTTATTCTTGAAGCCAACTGCTTGCCTGTTATATAATAATACTAGAAGCCCAAGTCTTGCCTGCACACTCCAATCCATGACCTTTCGGGAGACATCCAGCTGCCACATGGATTGGGCCTAAACCGGCAGACTGACATCCCTCTCATGATCCAGGACCACTGGCTGCTAGCTGCTCACCTGCCTGCCAACCTGATCCCCCTAACTGCTCTCCCCTGCCGACCTGATCGCCCCTAACCGCCTTGGCCTCAGCCCCACCACCATGGCTTTGTCCAAAAGGACATCTACTCTAATTAGCATATTACTCTTTTATTAGTATAGACCGGTGGTCAGCAAACTCATTAGTCAACAGAGCCAAATATCAACAGTAAAACAGTTGAAATTTCTTTTGAGAGCCAAAAACCAACTTCTGCGCATGGGCCACAAAGTTTCAATTGCCAGCACGTGGTCTTTTGTAGAAGAGCCACACTCAAGGGGCCAAAGAGCTGCATGTGGCTCGGGAGCCTCAGTTTGCCGACCACTGGTATAGACTAGAGTCCCATTGCATGAAATTCATGCTTCTATTATTATAGATTCTAAGTAATATTTTCATCTTGTCTTTAAATGACGGCTACCCTTCCAAGCCTGTTCATGAAACAGTAAAATTTTCCTAATGTGTTCAACCCAAAAGGACTTTCCCACTTTTAATATCTATATTTCTAGTAGTTGAAATTGTCTTCATTTCTTAATGAGGGTTATTTCCTATGTCATTTTTGTGCTATTACCATACATATGTAAATATACAAATTATACTTTTTTTAGCTAAGACTTCTTTTGGATCATTCACAGAACTTAGCAGATTTTTAATACAAAAAGTGTTTGGTGAATTGAATTCCCTAGCTTAAAGGGTTAAGTATTGAGAAATACAATTCTTACTATAACATGAAAATTAGCCTTAAAATCCATAGCCTCACTAGAACAGATAAGGCAGTAACTATTTGCCTTTCGAATACTTCAAAAACATTTCTTTAATAAGCCTCCCTATTGCTTTAAAAAAAAAAAATGCACTTTAACTCCCCAAAATATGTCAGCTTTTTCATTTGTTTTGTGGGTTTTTTTATTGTGTAAAGTTTTACCTACCTCCTTTTTCCCTGATTGACGACTCTCCCCCCAACCCCCATCCCCAAGCCTGGTTTTGTTTTTTTTGTTGTTAATCCTCATCCAAGGATATTTTTCCATTAAATTTTAAAGAGAGGGAAAGACAGAAACTTAATGATTACTTGCCTTCTGTATAAGTCCTGACACTATCCACTGAGCCAAATTGGCTAGGGCTACCTATAATTCTTGGGGGGAAAAACCATCTAGATGCCTCTGAAATATAGCATGTTTATTTGCTTTCATCTTTTCAAGTGCTGTAATTGCACTGTTAATTAGTACAATGGAAAGAATTCTAAGCAGGTATCAAGAGACTTGTGTTCTGCAACTAATTAACTGCCTTAGATAAGTTCATCCTCTCTAGAACTTAGTTTCTTCATTTATTAAATGAAAGGGATTGGATAAGAATGGGCCCTAAGTTCTTGTCAAATAAGATCATAATTTAAATCTAAATAAAGGCTAGCACAATGGTAAGATGTGCTCAGTTAGTTAAAATACATGGTGGTTTTCTAGGAAGCCAACCTTTTTTAAAAAATATTTTTATTTCAGAGAGAGAGCAATATCAATGATGAGAGAATCATTCCAGCTGCCTTCTGCACACCCCACACTGGGGATCGAGCCCACAACCTAAGCATGTGCCTTGACTGGAAATCGAACCGTGATGTCCTGTTTCATAGGTCAATGCTCAACCATGCCAGCCACTAAGCCTTGCTGACCAAGAGGAAGCCAAGCTTTTTCAGTGACTCTTTTTACCATAATATTTTCCAACAACCAAATTATAAGATGTATAAATTGCCTCCTCGTGAATACTTATACAGAAGGAATGAAGAGCTTTTTCAGAAGGGAGATGCACTTTGAAATTTAGAAAGCATTGGAAAAACTAAAATATGTTTGATTATGACTATATTAAAATCCAATGTAGGTTAAATAACTAAAGTGATAGGCTGCAGTGGAAATTGCTATGTCCCCAGCATCTCTTTTCCTCTCTCAAACAGTACCCTCATTTTCTTTCAAGTGTCTATTCTTCTCCTATACCAGTATAATCCATGTATGTAAGCAAAAGCTAACTCCACTCCAGCTTGGGGAATTTTGTCTTAAGTTAGTAGCTTTCAATTTTTTTTTTACTCCAATTCACATTAAAAAACAGATTTTACATTATAATGTAGGTGTGTATAATATATGTATGAACACCAAAGTCATAAAACTAACACTTCATATGTGCAATGCAATCTCAAATCTACTTTTTTAAAAATA